AAACCCAGGAGCCTCTCGTCACCCCATGCCTAGCACGTAGGAGGTCTGGACAAATGATTATTGAACTGCACCCATCGCTGTACCCTTACCTTCGCCCTGCACTCAGGCCAGGTTAGGGCGCCCGTAGTGTCTCTCCATGACTAGCACACAGCAGTCTGCCCAGCCTAGCACCAACTCGGCTCCTCTCTCAACCTCTCACTCTCGCTCTCTCTCTCTCTCTCTCAAATAAAATGTGTAATTTTCTTCAGGGAGTTATTTTAATTTTTTCTCCATGCTGAGGAAAACTATTGGGCGAGCGGTGAAGCGTGGAGAAGCACTGGCGTCTCCAGTGGGTAACAGTTAACTAAGAAAGAAGCCGTGTCGCCCGCCATCGCGCGAGCCGGCATCCCGGGCTGCCGAGGCCCTGAGCTTCCTCCCCAGGGGACGCACCGCCCCAGGGATAGAACCAGGGGCTTGGCCGGGGCCAGGGCCTAAGTGACTCAGACCCGCAGGGTAGGGCGCACCGGCCCCACCTTGCACTGAAGGCCTCCTTCCGCCAAGGCAGGGCAGGGTGAAGGCCTCTCTTTCCCTGGAGCAGCTGGAGGGCTGACTGAGGTTGGCCGGGCTGGGGTAGACGCAGCCGCGCCCGCCCGCCCCCGCCCCTGCCCCTCCTGTCAGTCTGCAGGCCTGCGCCCAGGCCCCAGCCTCTGCTCCAGCGGCGTCAGCGGCCACAACCTAGCCAGAGGCCTCGGACGCACTCCCCTACACTGGGAGTAGGTACCGCCCAGACCCTCGCTTTCTCTCCGAGCAGAGGCCTCTGCTTTGAAGTCTGAGGTGGTTCTCCCACCAGCCAGCCTCCTGGAACAATCTGCGAGTACCAGGATTTGGCGTTGCTCTGGGAAAGTTGGTGGAGGGGCTTCTGGGTCCCAAGCAGAGACCATGGAGCCTGCCTCTCCACTTTGCCCTGAAGCCCACCCCCTCTGGCAGCGAGAAAAAAAGGGCAAGAAGCGTGACTTACCTTCCCCCGGGGAGTGGGAAGAGGGGGACACGGCCCACTCTGAGCAATTAGAGGAGAGAGGAGGAAAAAAAATAGGAGGAAAAAAATATCAACACGACCTCGAAGGCGACAGGTCCTTATGGAAATAAGTAAGTAAATAAATAAATAAATAAGGATCCACCCTCTCCCCCCTCCCCACCCTGCAAGGGGGGTGTGGGGGTGGGGCAAAGGAGCAGCACAAGGGCTTTTTAGTGTAACTGAGCATTAGAGAAATACGCACGGCTTCTATGTGAATTTAGGAGTTTGAAACTTTTGGAGGTTATTTATGTGAATGGCCCGAAGGCAAGCCCGTGAGTGGCTCTTGGGGGACCACGTGATGTCATTAAACCAAGTTTTATGGTGTAGGGAGAGCTGACAAACCCACAATATATTTACATCATATATAATCTTAACTGTCCAGCCACGCAGCTGCTGGTGAGGTTTAATGCTAGGACAGAGGGCCTGGCAGTTAGAGGGGATTACGGCGCTGGGGATGATGGTGAGAGTTACATCTTCGCAAATGAATCCCAGGCGAACGCTGTAAGTTAATTTTCTCTCTCTCTGACCCTTTCTCCCGTTTACCTAATCCCCCTCCCCAAGATAGGAGGCAGTTCCCACTCATTAAGGGGAGGGGAAGAAGGCCTCCCCGGGCATCCCCAGGCTAGGGTGGAAGAAGAAGAGAAGAAGCCGCTGGGAGGTAGGAGGATGGGGGAGCTTGTCTCCTCTGACCAGCCCTCCCCTCCCTGCCCTTTATTCCCTCCAGCTGCGAGTCAACTGCGGTAAAGAGAGGCCTGGGTTCTTTAGAGCTTTGCTAGGTCTTCCTGACCCCCTCTTCCTCCTCAGCTGGGAAGAAAGACTGCGGCACACACATGGGTGTTGGGTGCTGGTGAGAGTGTGTAAACTCTAGGTGCAAACGCACCTGGGGGGCTCTGGGCCAGGGAGGGGCCAGTTCGGCCCTTGGGCCAGGGCAGGTCAGGCAGCTGGAGAGGGAGGCCGGGAGGGAAGGCGTTGGGACTTCTGAGCCCATAGGCTGCGACCTGAAATGGCAGAAGCATCTTGAAGGTGGCTGGTTTGAATCCAGGGAGTCCCAAAGCGTTTTCTCTTTCCTCACCACCAGGCCTGGGTGGGCAGCTGTCCCAGCGTCTGTAGTTTGGGGTCTTAGTCTGGCTGGGGCCAGTGTGGTTTCGTGCCTCCTCCCTCTAGCTGCTGGGGTCTTTGCTGGCACCCCTAGCCCTTGCCTGAGGTAAAAGTAGGCCGGGAGGCCTAGAGGTTCTGCTGTGAGTGGAGTGTAAATGAGTGGGAGAGTGGAGGCAGTGTCTTTACTGGGCTGGCCAGGAAAGATCCTCAGCCCGGAGGAGAGAGTGGCCTCTGGGGGATGGAGCCATCAGGGCCCAATATGGGCAATGATTCCTGGGGCCAGTCTCAGGCTGGGGCACCCTAAAGATTTCTAGGAAGGAGCAGTGAAGGCGTCGGGCACAGGAGGCACGTGTCCTCCACACCTGCAAGTGCATACCCCTCCCCATGAGTCACCCGGAGCTAAGCCAGGATGGCGAAGACATAGAAACTCAGGCTCCTTGAAGGGGCCGACCATATCTCCCATATCTCGAGGGATTCCGAAGCAGGGAGGAAGGCGGGCCCATGGAGGGCTACTGGCCTAGGCCAAGGGAAAGGGGAGGGGAGAGGGGAGGGGGCGAGCCAGGTCAGCACCTACCCAGGGGGGAGGACTGCCTTAGGGCTCGAGGGGGGCCTGGACACCGTTTTTGTGGAGAAGTGTTGGGGGGGACGGGGAGAGGACGCTGTCAGTGTGCCCCTGCCGTCCAAAGAACTGAGGAAGAAGCGGGACTGAAGCAGAGAGACGGAGAGCCCGGGCAGACTCCAGGA